ACAATGATGCTGGAGTTGGGGGCCTGGGTTCTGGGCTTTCTCCAGCAGGGTCTGGGGCTGGGTGTGAAGGGTGGCCAGGACTTGGCATAGAGGCAAGAGGCCAGAGGGCTCGGAGGCCTTTCCTACATTTGCTAGGAAGTTCTTGACTTTATTTCTCTTTAGAGCTCCTTAGTGCTTTCCCAAGGAGGTATGGTAGTTCAGTGGGTTAAGTGTTGGGGTTGCTAACCACAATGTCAGTGGTTCAAACCCACCAGCCAATCTGTGGGAGAAAGATGAGGCAGTGTGCTCCTGTAAAGATTCTGAGTCTGGGAAACCCTAAGGCGCAGTTGTACTCTGTCCTATAGATCACTGTGGGGCACATTGGGCACTGACCCCATTTTGAGGTAGCAGGTATTCTGATACCCATGTTATTGATAAGCAAATCCTGTTAGTGGCCTCCCTAAGGTCATGTTAAAGGCCAGCAGCAGAGCAGACTCCTGAACCCCCAGTCCAGTGCTCCTCCCATTTCTCTTCTTCCTGGAGTGGAGAGTGGGCCCAGCTTGGAGATAGTTGGGTAGGGTGTTTGGGGGGGCATATGGAGTCTAGTGAAAAGCACAAAACTTGTTCCTCTGAAACTCAAAAATTCTGTGGGGGTAATTCCTTTTATTGCCCCCAAAGTGGGCAGCCTTTGGTGAGCTGGAGCCGGGCATTGATAGCCCATTCTTTAGATAAGGAAATGGGGGCTCAGAGAGGTGAAGGGACCTGCCCAAAGTTACACTGCCAACTGTTGTTGTCAAATGCCGTTGAGTGGGTTCCGACTCATAGTAACCCTGTATAGGATTTCTGAAGAGCAGCTGGTGGGTTTGAACTGCCGGCCTTGTGGTTTACAGTACAGTGCTGATTCTACAGTGCCACGCCAGGACTCCAAGTACCTGAAATCCAGACTATGTCTTTCGCTTTACTCCAACCTCCCAGAACTTTGCTGCAGCAACCCAAGCCTGGGTGTCCCCGAGTGGGGCTTTTGGGACTAGGGAACTGCACCTAGGAGGATCTGGAGTTGGCCATTCAAGCTGAAGAGCCCACCCTGGGGGAGAGGAAGAGGGGAGGTGGTTACCTGAAAGGGGTTCTTAGTGTCCCATATATTGTATGGCCACTCCTGGTTGTGGCGCTGTATGTTAAGCACTGGACTGCTAACCATGTGGTTGGAAGTTCAAACCCACCAGTTGCTCTTGGAAACCCTATACAGGGTTGCTGTGAGTTGGAGTTGACAGGACGGCACACCACCACCACAACAACTCCCGATGGGGGGCCCAGGAGAGCCTGGGGGCCATGTGCCTTATTTGGGTGCCAGTCAGACAGGCTTCTGGCTCCAACCGGGTCTTAGCAAGTGACTGTTCTCCTCATTTGCAGATGGAATGATAATCTTTATTCTAAGGAAAGTTCAGAATGGGTTAATACTCCCTATAAATGACTGTCACAGTGCCGGATGAGAGCACAGAGATGGTTTTCTTGTTGTTAGGCCTGGAGCTTAACAGAAAAATGGGACATAGTGACAGTTTGGGACAAACTGGCCCAGGACCTGGCCCTTTGACCTCAGCCTCATCTGTTGCTCTGAAGTCCCCCAGTGACCCTGGATCCAGTGTGCAGATTTCTCTCAAGATCTCTGCTTTCCACTGGCAGGGAAGCCCAGCTGTTACAGGCCAAGGGTTCCAACAGCTGGGTGTTTCAAGGAATCTCTGGTTTTTCCTCCCAGGGAAAACAATGCTAGGGGACCTCTGTCACTGAAGCTGCACCCAGCCCCCAAGCTTTCATCAGGCAGGGTTTAGAAGGGACTGAGACCCCGCCCTTGACCCAGCACTACCGGGAACCTTTCTGTCCCACAGACTTTGTTTATTTGTTCAGACTGAAAAAGCAGCGTGGAGCAGAGTGGGGGGAGAGGATTCTCTGGACTCTGGTTGGGAACAGGCAAAGTGCATTGTTCTGCCAGCTTTTCTTGGATGAGTTTGGAGCTTTGGCCTGGCCTGGAACTAGGAGATGGGAAGGGGGAATGTATGGGGGTGTGGGTGGGGGTGTGGGGGTGTAGCGGGGGTGTGGGCTGCCTTTATGTCTGCCACCTCCCTCCCCCTTCCTGGGTTTCCTAGCTCACGTGAGGAGTCACTCTTTAGCTATTCGTTTACATGCATCTGTTGCTATTGAGTCAGTTCCAACTCCTGGCAACCTCATGTGTGGAGTAGATATGGCTCCACAGGCTTTCTGAGGCTGTGGCCTTACAGAAGCCAATTGCCAGGCCTTTCTTCCAAGATACTTCTGGGTGAGTTCAACCACAGCCTTCTGGTCTTAGCCATTTGTGCCACCCAGAGTCTTTCCTTGGCTGCTGGAGAATTTGAAAAGGCTGACAGCAAACTTGCCTCTGGCCTGGGCTGCCTTTGTCAGCCCCTACCTCTACCCTGTGGGGTAGCTGAAATAGGAGAGGGGAGGGATAGCCAGGTACTGTGTCTTGCCTCCAAATCTCATACTTCTTACCCTCCTCTCTGGATCCCTTCTTTGGGGACCTTCTGCAGCATCAACTGTAATAACTAGACTCTATATTGGGCCTTAAGGAGCTCTGGTAATGAAGTGGTTATGAATTGGGCTGCTAATCTCACAGTCAGCAGTTTGAAACTACCAGCTGTTCCACAGGAGAAAGATAAGGCATTCTGCTCCCGTAAAGATTTACAGCCTGGGAAACCCTGTACAGAGTCACTATGAGTTGGAACTGACTCCACAGCACAAGACAACAACAACAACATATTGGGCCTTGTTCTGCCTAATACATATGTCATCTCAATGACACCATGGTGTGGATCTGTAGGACCAGCACTGGACTGCGAACCACAAGGTCAGCAATTCAAACCCACCCGCTGCTCCTCAGAAACCCTATACAGGGTTGCTATGAGTGGGGATGGACTCGAAAATACTTACCAACAACCTTGTAAGATCAATCCTTTTATGAATATGATGGGAAACCGAGGTTCATTAACATTAGGTCGCTTGCCCAAAGTGATATTTAGGAAGAGCTAGAGCCAGGAGCTGAACCCAGATGACAAAAGACTTTTAGCTCTATGTCACATGGCATCTCTGATGGTGTTGCTAAATCATCCTTAGAGAGAGGGCAGGTTTGGGAGTCAACTTGGTGAAGATGGTGGGAGATCATTCTATTAGTCCCTCATTCCTCCCCTTGACAAAGCCTCTTGGGAGCTTGTTATGAACAAGCCTGTGCTTGGCTTTGCAGACAGTGACCATTGGGTGAGCTATGATGAATGGGAGATGAAGCCAGAATGGGGTGCTGTTTGAGCATTATTAAGGGCAGGCAGCCAGCTTAGTTTAGGGTGCAGGAGCCAGGGTTCAGGAAAGCTCCTGGAAAACATACGTTTCAAGTGGGATCCAGGTGACTGATGCATCTAGGGTCCCTAATCTGAGGTGACCGTGTTGGGCACTCTTTAGCCCCATGCCTAAGCAGGGTGTTTCATCGTTAGCACTATTGACATTTTGGGTGGGATCATTATTTGTCGTGGAGCCTGTCCTGTGCTTTGTAGACTGTTTAGTGGCATCTCTGGTGGTGACAACCAAGAACGTCTCCAGACATTACTAATTGTTCCCTGGAGGGACAAAATTGCCCCTGATTGAGAACAGTGCCGGGCACATGGGGTGGGGGTGGGGGGGTGGGTTGCTGCTCACTAAATATTTGCTGAACGGATGTGCCATGTGGGTCCCGTTCTCTGTGGGATAAGGGTTAATTAATACCAGATATTGGTGGTCTGGATGCTGCTTTCATAGATTCTGGAAGAGCAGGAAGAGAGGGCAACTAGGAATCTTGGTTGGCTGAGGGTACCCATCTCGGTCACTTAGGTGAACTGAGCAGTAGGATCTATAAGGTAGCACTTAACCAGATCGATTTTGCCATATTGTTTCCATAGCACAACATCCTGTTCACTTGTGCTGTAGAATTTAGGTTTTTGTTTAGGCAGCAGAATACTAGGGGACAGTGTTAAAAATTAGAGGCAGCATCGTTTTACCCTGTATAATCTCCATGCAATTAGTGAGTGTCTAGTTGTTGATGAAGGAGCCCTAGTGGTGTCACAGTTAAGTTCTCAGTGGTTCAAACCTACTCAGTGGCTCTTTGGGAGAAAGGTCTAACAATCAGCTTCCATAAACTTTACAGCTGAAGAAACCCTCTGGGCTACTTCCATTCTGTCCTAGGGGTCACTATGAGTTAATTGACTTGACAGCACTTAACAACATAACATCAAATGGTGATGAATCTCTGATGGACAGGGCAAGTCTGGTTGGGCCTCTGTTTATTATGCACTTACTGCATGCACCCCAGGTTCAGAGGGCATATAGAAGGCAGAAAGAAGGAAAAGAGAGTGAGAGACAAAGACAGACAGACAGAAAGACAGAGAGAAAAAGAGAAAACAAGCCAACCATTATTTGTGTCCTTCCAGCTGGACACTGCAACTTTCCTCCTTGTACATCCCCAGAGTCCTGGGTTCCTGTCTGTGTTATGACATTATAACATCACTTTTGCATGTAAGTTCTCTGAAACAGGAATCAAGTTATTATTCCTTGTTGGATCCCCAAGGTACCGAGTATGACAAGTATCAATGAATGGATGACTAGAACATCAGAACTCAGAAAACGTCTCTTCCTTCAGGAGATTCCTTCTCATGGAGGGTGGAGAACAGAGCTGTCGTGGTGGAAATTCATTGCCTGACTTGTGGGCAGGAGCTTCCCCTATAAAATGGGCCTGGGATACTTCCCAGAATTTGTGAGCGGATGAGCTGAGATGATGTGTGTAATCAGCGGGCATTTAGAGCAGATAATAAAAGCAGGATCAAGGGTTCAGATCTCCTTGATCCAGGCCACCTCTTCTGCCCAGTCGTCCCCTACCAGGTGGTACAGAGTTAGGAAGTGTCACGAGCAAACCCACGCCTGCCCAGTTGGGAGATCTACAACCCCTCCTAACCTCCTCTCACTCCTAGGTGCCGTGCTACTCATATGGGCAGAAGCTATCCAAGTTGGCCATCCTGAGGATCGCCTGTAACTACATCCTGTCCCTGGCGAGGCTGGCTGACCTCGACTACAGCGCTGACCACAGCAACCTCAGCTTCTCTGAATGTGTGCAACGCTGTACCCGCACCCTGCAGGCTGAAGGCCGTGCCAAGAAGCGCAAGGTAGGTGACAGCTATTCGAGCAGCAGCCTTTGAGGACAGGGTGGCAGGGACAGAAATTTAGGGGTGCCCTTCACATGCCCGGGATCCCAAATGGGCGCCTGGCATCTGTGACCCTACTCCTGGGACTTGGGTTCTGGATGACCTTTGGCAAGTTGCCCAGTGTCTTTGGGCCTCACTTAAATGAGGAAGGTTTAACTTAGGAGCCCTGGTGACGTAGTAGTTAAGCATTCAGTGCTAACTGAAAGGTCAGTGGTTTGAACCTGTCATCTACTCTGTGGGAGGAAACTGTGGCACACTGCTTCCATAAATGTTGTTAAGTGTCGTCAAGTTGGTTCTTACACATAGTGACCCTGTATAGAGTTTCTGAGGAGCAACTGGTGAGTTTGAACCACTGACTTTCTGGTTCTAACTGGCCCTGAGGTCATGCTCTTATCTTGCTGCACCACTGCAGTCCTGGAAAACCTATAGGGCAGTACTATACAGTTTATGGGAAGTCCTGGTGTGGTGCTATGGGTTAATGTGCCAAACTGCAAAGCCGTTTAAACTGCAAGGTCGATGATTCAAGCTCACTAACTGCTCCTTGGAACCCTATACAGGATCGCTATGGGTTGGAACTGACTTGACCGCACTTAAACAACACCAGCAACATAGGGTTTATACTTTGTTCTGTAGAGTCAGAATCAGAATGAAATCAACTCAGTAGCAATGGGTTTTCTTCTTCCTCTTTTTGAAATCTCTGTAGCCCTTTCTGACCTCACAAGCTCTGATGCTGAGTCCTCTAAGTGGCCCCTGATAGATGTTGTATCAGGATGAGAATCCCTGCATGAGTGACAGCCCATGGGAGCCTTTGGTGTGTGTTGGGAGTGTGACTTGACCTGAGTCTGCGCATTACAGCAGGGTGATAACCTCATGCTCATCCATCCATTCTGGAGAGTTCCATTGAACCCAGCCATGACTGAGCATGGTCCAAGTTCCCAGACAGCTCACAAGATGATGGTCAGAGACAACCTCCTGCAAACAGACAAGGGTGGGAGCAATGAATTATCTGTTTAAGGGAGCTTGGAAGGGTATCACAGGGGAGGTGGTGTTTGAGCTGGGACCTTGGTCAGGAGGTTACCAGGCAGGTGAAACTGGGAATGGCCTCTGAGGCAGGGGAATGGCCTATACAAAGCCTCGTGTGCAGGAAGAAAGGTGCAGGGCACAGCTGTGGTTCCCCAGATGGCCTGTGAATCAGCATTTTCAGTCAGAGGTTAGTGACAGGCAGGGCTGGGCAAGGCTTATCCCAACCCTCTACGTCTCTGTTCACATGAAGCTGGAATGAGCGAGACGGAGGTTAGGACCCAGTCTGCCATCCATGAGGCAGTAGAGGTGGTGTAAGCATCCAGCTCCCCGGATAGCAGGAAGGTTTCCCTGGGCATCCAGGGATGGGGAGGATTGTGTGTGTGTGTGTGTGTGTGTGTGTGTGTGTGTGTGTGTGTGACTCTGAGCATCCTGTTCTACCACCTCCTTCCTTCCTGTCATTTCCTCCCCCCCCCCTTACCCTTGACCTTACCTCAGGTTCCCTTTCAATCAGGTCCCTCTTCAGGCTTCCCAGGTTTCCTGGAAGCCCCTGGAGCCCAAGCAAGGGTGGCCCTCTGGGGGTTCCCAGGTCCACTCAGGCTACTGCGGCCGCATTCCTGGAAATGATTTAACCTGGACCAAGTAGATGAACTCCTCATCACGTGGGTGAGAGAGGAAGTGCCACTGGCTGCTCATGGGAGGCTTTCCTCTGGAAAGTGATGTGGTAAATTAAGGGCGTGATTGATGACTCTGTGGTGACTAAAGAGGTCTATAAACTCGTGGTGAACTTCCCCTGGCATTGCAGCCAGTGCCAGAGCTGTAGATGGGCACCATTTATTCCATGTCCCCATAGCCTCCCCTGGTCCTGCCTCCCCCTACCCTCTTCACCCACCAAAGGCAGGAGTGTGAAGGTCCCTCCCTCCCGTCCCTGGTTCTTTGATTTAAGCAGATAGTGTGCAGAACTAGAGAGGGGCTGGAGGCCTGGGAGATGAAGGAAGAAGGGAAAACTGGTGAAGCCGGCTAGCAGAGATGAGCTTTTGTCTTCCCTTCAAATCACATCAGATCTTCTGTGCTGGAAGACATCTTAGAGACCATGTGATATGATCTCCCCCATTATACAGGTTGAGAGTCTGAGGTGGCAGGCTGTGATTATAGCAGAAAATAGCCCTGGGCTTGAGTCCTGCCTCGCCATTCCCAGCTGTGTGAACAATTCTCGGAACAATTGTGCAACCTCTTTGAGCCTCAGTTTTCTCCTCTATAAAATGGGGGTGCGGGGATGGTAGAAACACCTGATCCACAGGCCACCTGGAAGACTAAATCAATTACTGTATTAATAAAGGGAGCATGGATGCATATTTGTTGTCACTCTCACTTGAGTGACTGCTCTACCCTCAAGGTAATGAGCCCCTAAAATGCTTAACCTTGAGATTCACCCTGCAGTGCCTCCAGTAACTGGTGAAATTGCCTTGGGGGAGATTAACTGCCCCCCCCCCTTTGGTACAGATGGAAGTTCCAGGGTAGCAACATGTCTCTTTCTTCTCCATACCACTCCTTCAGCACCCCACCCCCTTCTCTATCCCCTACCCAGCCCAGAATTCACTGGAATTCAGAACTTCAGCCAGGACAAGACCTCAGGGCACTTCCTGTCTCCTGCCTAACCCTCTAAACCTCTGGCCTGTTTTCTGGCAGTCTTCCCCATCTGGGACTGTGGGAAGTGGGGTCTGAGTCTGTCTTTGACCTAATGACCTTTGTGGTCACACAGACTCAGGTTATGCCCATACAGACATATTTCCCATAAGAAAAAACTCATGACTCACTGACTGACCCTAGGATTGCCCATGGGGACTGGTGGTTGTAATTTGAGCCCTTTCCAGAAACACCCCCTCCCCATTTTCAGTAGCTTATCTGGACAATCAGGACTTGACCCTTCAGCCTTTGCAAGCATGGTCATTGGTGTGTTCTGGAGCAGGCAAATTCCTGTCCACCTGGTGACCCTGGAGCCCTGGCTTACTCTTCCAAATCCTCTGGATAACTATGTGTTGCTGCCAGGGGTCTAACTGCTAATTGTCCTTCTCCTCTCTGCCTTCTTCTCTCTGTCTGTCTGTCTGTCTGTCTGTCCCTTGTCTGATTCTCTTTGTCCCTCTCTTTTCCCATCCCCTTGGCTGGGAACTGTGTGGTTGCACTGAAGCCCAGAGGAGGGAGCTTGAGTCCATCTTGGCAGACGTCTGGTAGGGACACTGAATTATTAGCTGGACCCTGAGAATAAGGGCCTGGAGCCCTGGGGAAGAGTGTTTCTTGGATTCCTTTGGGGACCCCTCACCCTTCCCTTTGGCTTGGGAGCTTGAGATGTCTTGCCTCGCAGGCACATCTTTGGCCAGGTTCTGGTGTTGGTTGGAGTTGGTTGGAGCCTCTTGACTTTATTGTCTTCCTCTCATGGGCTCCCAGTCTGAGCGTCTGAGGACTCACCTCTGTGTCTATGAAAAGATGTGCAAAAAAGTCATACCTGGTTATGTGTTTATGCTTGGCTGACAGGGCTGGTCCTGCCATTCCGCTGCCTGGCACCCGGGTGGGGGGTCCTGGGAAGCCCAGAAATCCTAGGAGGTCTCCACTCCCTCCCCAGCCCTCTACTCAGATGTTCTCCCTCAGCCCCACACCTACAGGACATGTGAACACAGCAGCAGTCCCCAACCTACTGGGGGGCGGGGGGGAGTCTTAAAGCTCTTCTTGGAACCTCTTCCTCTCTTCATGTTCTTTATCCATCCATCCATCCATCCATCCATCCAGTAAGTGTTTTTTGAGTCCCCACTGTGTGGCAGCCACAGTGTAGGCACAAAACAGTTCACACCTGGTCCCCCCACTCCATCAAGTAGCAACTGAACGTTTCCTGGTCTAGAGTGTTTGGGACCTGGGGGTGATCAAGTAAGAAAAGGCAAAGGCAAACAAAAGCAAAAGCATTCTAGTTCCTAACACAAGCCTGCAGCCATCAGGTACCAACCAGCAGCTGAGCTGTGCGGGGTGGGTGGGGGTGGGGAGGCCCCAAGTGGACAGGAGGCTTCATGTCCTAGGGGCTGGGAGTGGGGAAGGGGTATCCAGAGCCCTGCAGGGCGCAGGACATAGAAGAATGATGAGAACCAGAGCTTGTTATCCAGATTCAGGCTCTGCCCTGGGTCAGGAGACACAGAGTGGATCCACATGCAATTCAGTGCCTTTGTCCTGTGCTGCCGGACCCAGCTGCCCAATTGACATTGCCTATGTTAGGGCCCTGGGTGGGGACTGGGGCCCAAGTTGGGTCTGAATGGCATTGTGAATATGCAGTTTCTCTTCAGCATCCTTTGCCTGTCAGGACTGCATGGGAATATGAGATGACCCCCACAGGCCTGCTTGTTACCTCAGTGGTAGAAGTGGGTCTGGTAAACTAATTCACAACAAGGTGTGTGGATGAGAACTTCAGGTGCGCTGTAACTGGGGGTGGGAAGCCCCAGGCTGAAGAAGTAGCTGATGATGGACGTGTCATGGAGGGCTGCAGGTGGGAGAACAAAAGTTTGGGCCCTAAAGACTGTCAGAACAGTGGGCAGATGTCTGCTCCAGAGGCTCTAGCTGTCCCAAGTCCCCGCAGCAGCTCCTTGCCAAGGGGGAGGAACTGGAGGTAGCATCACCATTGGGATTAATGACCATCTATCTGAGAGGCTGCCTCCTTGTAAGACTGAGCTCCGTGCTCCCAGATGAGCTGCCCCCTCCCCCAGATTAAGGCTGGAATTTAAAGAGGAACCAGTATGACTTTTGGTTCACCCCCCAGATCCCAGGCTCATCCTCTTGCTCATTTCAGCTCTTTCCTACTAGGGGTGAACTTGGGGGGCCTCCATTCCCTCCACTGACAAGTTCTTACTGGCCTCCAAGGACATGACTTTGTGGGTTTGAGGTCTGTGTGGATGGCCCAGTCATGCACTGAGGTGGGTTGGAGGCTGCTCAGTGGAGATCCAGGGCAGGAGAAGGGGAGACCCTGGAGAGTTCAGTTCTGACTCTGCCTTAGCAGGAAATAATGTGAGTTAAGCACCTGGCTCTGGGCCACATTTCCGCAGCTCCTGTTTTTAAAGCAACAACTCCTGGGGGCTTCTGAGGATGAGAAAGGGAAGGGGGAGGGGTTGGGGAGGAGGAGGCAACAGTGGCAGAGCTGCTCTTCAACACCTGGGCTAGGCTGACCTGGCCAGACTGCAGGATAGGCAAGGATGCTGTCCTGAAGTCACAAACACTGGTGGTGTCCTTTAATCCTTGGTGATAAAACAACCAGAAAGGCAGAGTCCCCTTGCTCACAGGTTGGGTACAGGAGACAAGACTGTGGGATTAAGGGCTGTACCAGAGGATGTGGACAGTCAGTGTGT